AAAGCTCACAGAGGACAGCAGCTCAAGGTGTGGAGAGAGACAAAGACACAGAACTCCTGGATCCTGCCATACCTGAAACCAATAACATAGATTTCTCAATTATTGACCAAATATCTTTCTTTTTCTCTGCTTTCTTTCTTTCTTCCTCTCCCTCCCCCTCTCTCTTTGTTTCTTTGTATCTTCCTTCCTTTCTTCTTTCTTTCTTTCCAGTACCAGGGATCAAACACAGGCCCTTGTGCTTTCAAGGCAGGTGTGATACCACTGAGCTAAATCCTAGTCTCGATTTCTGTCACTTGTGGAGATGCATCTCCCTTCCCAACTAAATAAGGGATCTTGCACCCTGAAATGGCTCAAGTTCTCTCCTCCCCTACAGGTCATGCAACCACTCCAAGTTCTACCCTACCCCAGGGCCTTTGCACATGTAACTCCCTCTGCCAAGAGCATGTCCTCCACAACACACCTGGCTCATTCCCCACTGAGGTCTCTGTTCCAGCATCTACTCCTTGCCAGCATTCTCTCACTCCGCACCCCTCCATCACTTTCCCTCCATAGCTCTCTAGCCCCTTGCTTTTTAAATATTTGTTGTAGCTCTGAATTGCATTAGTCAGATAGTCATGCACTGCTTACAGATGGGGTTGCAGTGTGAGAAATGTGTAGTTAGGTGAGTTTATTGTGTGAACATCATGGAGTTGCTTATCCAAGCTACATGGTACCACGACTACACATCTGGCTGTGTGACATGCACTGTTGAGTGTGTAGCTCATCGTTGACGCAAATGTCATGCAAACCACACAAGCGCACCGTGCACGGTCTCTGCACACACTGAGCTTAGGTGAAAAGTCTCTATTGTGTACAGTGTGTGCCTGCTATGTTAATACACAGTGTGTATTTGTACTCTGCCGAATATATGTGTCCTTGCGTACAGCATTGCGTGCCTTTAGTTGCACTGCTGTGACTGCCTTGATGTCCTGAATCTATTCAAAACATTTCCTTTCTGTGGTTATTTTGGCTTTGGGGAGAAGCCAGAAGTCACACGGTGCCAGATCCAGTGAGGAAGGTGGATGAGGACATTGTCATGGTTTTTTGTGTTGGTGTTGTTCTTTTGCGGGGGGTAGTGAGGATCAAACTCAAGACCTTGCACTTGCAAGGCAGGCGCGGTGCCACTGAGCTAAATCCCTGGCCCAAACACTGTCATGTTTTTATGAGCCTGCCTTTCCGGTGGATGACGCTTAGCAGCAGCATTCACTGGATTTTTGATCATGCCTCATAAAGACGCTCAGGACAGAGGATTCCAGAACTGTCTGAGAAAGTAGCAAGAACAACGGGATAAGTGTGTTGGAAGACACTTCAAGGGGAGGAACGGCAATGTGTCCTCTGCAGTAATACATTCCTTTTTTTTTTTTTTTTGCTGTACTGAGGATTGAACTCAGGACCATGCGCTTGCCAGGCAGGCATGGTGCCACTGAGCTGCATCCCCGGCCCCAACACAGTCTTAATTTAAGCTCATCGTCCTTTCCCACGCCCCTGGCACGTCTGCCTGCCTGTCCATCCGTCTGGGGCGTGCTCCATGCAGAGCTCCATGCAGACAAAGAGGCTGTTTCTTACCACTGTTCCCCCAGGCCGGGGAGCACACCTGGCACACAGAAGGTGCCCAAGGTCCTGGGCAGGGGAGGCAGGCAGAGCGGAGGCTTGAGCTCCAGGACGCTGCAGAGCCCAGGATCTCTTGCTTCTGGGCGCCCACATGTTCCTGTCTAAGGTAGTTTAAGCCAGGACGTCGTGGGTCTCTGTGCCCACCATCTACCCAGTGCCCCCCCTGCCCTTCCTTACCAAGCCCCACTCCATGCTTGGTAGCAGCCCCATGCCCTCTGCAGAGTGCTACAACTGAGGAATCTCAAACACGGGGTTCAGCATCGGTGACCCCAGGAGTCTGACGCCAGCCCTGCCCCTCACCCGCAGGTGACCCTAAGCAGTGCCTCAGTTTCCCCGAGGTCCCCGTCCCTGCTGTCACTGGGGGATGACCACAACCACGGTGCTGGCTCTGGGGGACTAAATGAGGAGTGCCAGTGAATGTCGGGGTGCAGCACCCAGTGAGATGTCAAGCCGGTGAGGTGTGCCCGGACATTCCCCGTCAGGGTGCAGGGGCTGGCGAAGAGGTGGGCAGGGGCAGCTTCTGTGGAGCAGGTGAGGCTGCTCGGGTTTACTCCTGAAGGTGGGGCAGCCTCCTCCACCCCTGCAAAGAGTTTGCCCTGGGCCACCTCTGGGGGGTAGGGGGCTGAGGAAGGATGAGTCCGCTTGGCAGTGACCCCACAGAATTTCCAAGCGGGTCAGACCTGGTCAGACCCACAGGATGTGGCCTGGCCGCTGGCATCCTCCGCTGGGCAGGGTTTAACCTGAACGCATTAGGGCTCACTAATCGCCCGTAATCACCTTGTTTGAATTAGCATGGCAAGTGCTTCCGAGGCAGCGCCTGTTATTCCAAATAACCTTCAGTGGTTTTAATTAGGTCCCCTGGAATGCGCGGCCCCTGGCCCTTTGCTTTATTAGGGAAAGATCCTGTAAACCCCAGGATGGCACACGGTTTCTGACACCCCCACACCTCCCTCTGCAGCCCCTGAGTAAGGAGAAGGCGTTTGCCCATCCACTCCGATTCTCAACTCTCCCTGGCTATATTTTTAAACCCGATACAGGATGGAGAAGGTGACCCCACCATGCACCCAGCCCCACACCCAGTTCCATCTGCGGCCAGTGTCTCCCTAGCTTTGGAGCATGTCGTGCTGCTCCTTCTAGGCAGCCCAGATTTCCTCTCTCTGTCGTGCAGCTGGGGACCCAACGGGAAGCACCAAGCGGCTCAAGGGTATCAGCAAGCGCGAGGCTCCTAGACTTGATCCTGCGCCTGCCTCAAAATGCTCTCCCCGCCAGTCAGTAACAGCAACAGAGGAGGAAGGCAGGGAGCTCGGGAGTTCTGTCCGGATGGGGCTGGGGACAGGGAAACCAGACGGTGTCCCTCTCCGAAGGGACCCGAACTCAGCTCCAGCTTGTGCTGGCCTCCTGCCCCCATCATGCCCAGAGCTGAACCCACAGAATCTTCACTGCTTGGCAGAAATGAAGAAGGCATTTGTTCACTCATCAGACAGTTCTGGAGCCCGGGGCGGGCACCCAGGCGGTCTTCAGTAAATACTTGCTGATTAAAGAGAGGCAGGAGGAGGCTCCCAATGCGTCCCCGACCTGTGTGAGTCGCTGGACATACAAGGAGGGGCAGGCCAGACGTGGTGCTTGCCCTTCTGGGGCCTCTGGTGAGGGGAGAGTTGAGAAGAATGGATTGAATAGAGAGATTTCTACATCTTCCCCGGGCCTTACGGGCCTTACCCACTGAATCCTCCTGGCCACTAGGAAAGGATCTGTGTCCTCACCGTGGAAGAAATGGAATCAGAGAGGGTGAGTCACTTGTCAGAGATTACACAGCTGCCCATCACGTGGCAGAGGCCGAGTTGGAAGCTGGGCCTCTGAACCTGTCCCTGTCAGAACCAGGCAGGGGAAGGGAGGGTTCCAAGGTCTCAGGGCAGGGCAGCCAGAGGAGTGGTTTTATTTCAAGGCGAGGGACATTTTCCCTGTCCCCACCCTGACACCACAGTGAACCTTGCGCCGCTAAATTGAACGAGATGGGGCAAGGTCAAAGGTGAACCAGGCCCTGCACGCAGCCCACAGGGCCGGGAAATGAGCTAATTAGGACCTTTCAGCAATGCCGGCCCACGGGCGGCCGCTCCAGCTGCTCCTGGGCGGACGGAGTCCTCCGCGGCCCTGGGTTCAGAGGTCAGCCTGCCTGGGGAGCAGGGAGCAGGACGGCTCTGTCCCTGGCTGGCTGCTACCCTGAGCCCTCAGGTGCCAGCACCAGGAAGAGGGGCTGGGACCACACCACCGGCAGGCAGCTCATTGCATAAAGTGTCATCGAGACCCTGGCGAGTGGCATTCCAGTGAACAGGACCCGCAGTTCTCTGTAGAGAGCAGAGCACACGGCAGAGCCTCGAGGAAGGCTTCTCAGAGGCAGCCTCAGAGCGCATCCCTGAGCAGGCAAGAGGTGGATCGGGTGGAGACTGAGGGCGGTTGCCAAACACCGAGTCACCTGCAAGAGGAAGGACGCAGGGATTGTTCCTGCCCGTTGCAGCCAGGAGAGGATGTCTCTGTGCGCCTCCAACATCAAGGCTCTGTGGTCGCAGGGGCCCCCACTGCTATTCCTTGACGCAGGACTGACAGAGAATTTAACTGGTGAAAGGGATTCAGGGCAGAGGCAAACTAATGTTTATTAAGTAATTTACCTAGGGTCAGGCCCTAGGTAAATAGAGTGAAAGCAGACCCAGCCTTGGCTGTCTGGGAGTTTCTAGTAGGAGTCAGCAGCTCACACAACATACGCTAGACAGGAGGTGTGGCAGAAAAATACAGTGTGTGTTTAAATTGTTAAAAATATATTAGTAAAAGACACATCGCCACCAGTCCCCTCAAGATCCCCCTCCACCCTTCAAACACCCTTAGCCCGTCATTCCGCCACTTTCTGGAAGCCCTCTTTTGTGAGTGTCTTCAGTGGCACTGTCCTGGTTGCTTCCAGGTCCTGACTCGATTCAAAACATTTCCCTTTCATGGTCATTCTGACTTTGGAGAAGAGCCAGACGTCATACGGTTCCAGAGAGAATAAATAAGGTGGATGAAGTCACTGATCGTCTTGTGTTTAGGAGCCTAACCTTCCTTCGGATAGCACTCGTCAGAATCACCCATCACGTCTCTGTTTTGTTTTCTCGATTATAACCCATAAAGACCCTCAGGAAAGAGGGCTCCAGAACTGCTTCAGGACGTGGAGGGATGCCGGAGGAGCGCGTCTGAAGCTAGGGGGAGGAATGCCGATGTACCTGCTACTGTATCCAGTTTCTTCATTTAAATGTCGGCCATAACGTCTCCATCACACCTGGTACAGATGAGGAGGGCCACGGAGAGGAGACACCCGCTGGGTCGTGGAGGGAGCTGTCCCCATGAGTGCAGTGGGCTGAGGGGCAGGAAGGACTCGGATCCCTGAGGTGTGAGCTGTCCACCTCTTCTTGAACGTCACATGCTCAGTATAGTGCTTGGCCCCTAAGGATCAGGTTTGCAGAAAAACAGGACTCCTGTGAATTCATTCCACCCACAGCACACCCTGCAAGGAGGACACCACAATGGGCCCTCTGGTACAGGTGGGGGATCTGAGGTTCGGCTGCCCAGGGTCCCAGCACAGGGATGAGGTGGGCCTGTCCTGCTGGCAGGTCTGGCTAACTGTCGTGCCTCAACCTCCACTTCCCCCTTCCCACACCTAAAAGTTGGGAGAAGGCTCTCAGTCTCCTCCATTGCAGAGCTGAGATTTCCCAACAGAGCCATCCATTCTCGGAGCAAGACAATGCAGAAGCCCAGGCCAAGGACACGGTGGCCACCAACATATCCAAGCATCATGACTACCAGGACCACAAGTGCCCTTCAAGAGAAAGTGACCCAAGAAAAACATTCTCCTGGTCATCTATTAGAAACGTTCTTTTTCTAAGGGAGTCATCAATAAAGGGCTGGGCAAGAACACCGTTTAAAGTCAGAAAATGCCTTAATAGTCATTTAGGAAATAGTGTCTTTGTTTGCAGTCCCTGTGCTGGGTCTGCAAGATAAGGAGCGGGGGTCACAGAAGGGGAAAGATCCACACGCTCAAGGAAGGCACAGGGCCAGTGAAGAGGATGTGGCAGAATGTCTGCAGGGCCCCAGTCACGAAGGACAAGAGACCTTTGCATGGAAGGGTATCACCCATCCAAGGTAAAGAAAGGGACAGTTCAGGCTGCTGAACTCGAAGGTTGGAGCCATCCCTGAGATCTGGAGGGTGGGGAAAGATTTCCCCTGGAAGGAAGGACGTTGCTGGGTCGTGAAGAATGGGGGAAATTTGATTATCAGGGGTGGGGGCCGGGTGGCGGAAACGATCCTGTTAGTTTCTGTCATCCCTGAAGCAAATCTCTTTGGTGTGTGGGGCAGCCTGCATCGGCTCTCCTAAGAACAAAACAGGTTTTTATTAAGGGGAAAAAAATCCAATTTGGGGCTGGTGGACTGAGGGGAGGAGAAGTCTGGGAGGACTGGCCCTCTGCCTTCTCAGTAGGAGCCAAAACTGCTCGTTTATCCAGAAGACGCTGCATCCAGACACGGGAGAAAGTGGCCCTGTTCGCGGGAAGGACGAACAGCCTTACGGCTGACCACAGAGAGATTTTCCAGTCTTCTAATATTCTCTGAGAGGCCTGGGCTCATGGGACAGAAGTGCCGAAACTGGCCCGAGAAGTTATAAGTGGGAGTTTTTCCACTTACAACAGTGGAAAAAAGAAAAGCCTCGTGCTTGGGGAGTGATGGTGTCCTCAAGGGACAAGGGGTGCACTCTGTCATGTACAAATTTCTCAGATGGCGGCTCCAGAGTGCCTGGCGGCCTCTGCCTTCTGGAAGGCCCCTGGCATCCAGGTCACGAGGCCACAGGGTCCTGCCTTCCTCTCTCCAAGCCTCAAAGTCTCACATCCACTCCTGTACCAGGTGAGACGCACTCAAGGATGAACCGTCCCCACCCTCGAGGGCTCCCCCACCACCCCAACAGGACACAAGGAGCCCAGAGCTGGCCCGATGCCCCGCCTGCCCCACCTCTGTAGCAGTGAGCAGGCGGATGGAGCGACATTTAAGTCAAACCCGCACATATCAGTTTTGATTTCAACTGGAATTGCCTCTCTCGGCTGGATTTCAAAAGACAGCGTTACTAATGAGAAACACACAAGTTCTCGAAATGAAGTTAACTTCTTAAAAAAAAAAGAGGGGGGGTGCTTTTCTTTGGCTCTGTTGATACATATTAGAACCACATTGTGTCAGGGAAAAACAGCCGTTCTGCTTCTGAACAGAAATACGGGAGCCCTTGTTCTGGGGAAGACACAGGGAGCCCGTTGTCCCGACCTGCTATATCTCTCTAGACTTGGAGAGGCTTTTGTTTTTGTTTTTGTTTTTAGGGAACCAGGAATTTACAACTTCAATTTAAAACAGAGGAAAAGGGAAGAGGATTGAAGTGGCCAGAAATGAAATTTTGAAAGCAACATGAACAATTAAGATTTGTTTAAAATCAGTTCTCATTTGCTATTTTTGAGAGAAGCAGGAGGGGCAGACGCCAGGCCAGACCCGGGTGTATAGTCTGCCTGCTGACCCGTTGCATTTCCCAGCCCTGGGTACCTGGGAGTCATCTGGCCCTACATGCTCAGGCCCCAGCAGGGGACCAAAGAAACCAACCCAGCAGGAAGAGCCTGGCACATGGGACACTCAGGTCCTGGCCAGAAAGTGGCCCCGACTTGGTGTCCTTGCCACCAGGAGCTCTTAGGTCCAGAGAGCTCAGTGGGGTGGGGGGCGGCTCTTTGAACACTTTTGCCTTGCATCCTGGGGACCTGCTGGAGGTTCTCTACCCCTCCGTGGAACAGGGTTGCATTTCCAAGGCCGACAGAAACCACCCTGAAGGGCAGGAGAGGAAACCTGTGCAGTAGGGCACTGGTTCCGAAAATCCAGGGCAGATGCCTCCCAGAACCTCTCTGGGCATGACTCTGGGCTGTCCATTTTCTTGGCTATCCTCATGGCTAGCTAGGAAGGACCTTGAAAGGTTCCCCAGTGCCTCCCCTCTCTGGGACTCAGTTTAACCTCACTGTGTCAACCGGAAGTTAGATGAGATGATCCCACAGTCCCTTTTGAGACTACTGGCTCTCCAGTCTGGAGAGGACTGAGGCTCGCTGTAACTGGGAGAGGCTCTCAGGTGCACAAGACGGGAAGCTGCCATCTCGTGAAGGAGGCAGGGCATCCCGTCTGAGGCTCCTGCCAGCTTTCAGACGCACTCATTCACCATCTCCCCAGTGTGGCTGGGCCATGAGGAGATTGCAGGCCCATAAGAGACAGGGTCAGTACCCACCCTGGGATCCTGCAGTGACTAAAAGATACATTTGTCCGCAAGCCAGCTCATGGGGAAAATCAGGAGTCCACGGGAATCAGTGGGTTCCATGTGTTTCAAAACACACTGCTGGGCCTCTTGCCCCATGCAGAAAGGAAGTCCCACCATGATGGAATCTGGCTCGGACACAGGAATGGGGTGCCACATGATCAGAGCCTGCTCTGGGTCCAGCATGGCTTTGATCTAGTCCTTCAGCTTTCCCGGGGTGTGACTTCTAAGAAATAGGACCTTTGCCTTTTGCAACAGCAGCCTGCAGACCCACAGCCCTCCAGGCTGGGGTTCTCTCTCAAGGGATCTAGGCCTTTAGAAGTTCTGTTGGCATCTAGAAGGAAGTGGGGGGAGGGGTAGCATAAATCACAGAGTTTCTTCCCTCAAAGCTCCAAATGAGGACTCAGCCCGACCTTCTGTCAGTCAAGTAGCTGAAGGCCTCAACCTTTCTGAACCTCTGTCTACCCAGCTGTGAACTGGGGGTGCCTCACAGAAGAGAGGACAAGGTCTGTGACTGGATTTCTCTGATATGGGGAGAAGGGTCATACTGGGGTACTAGTCAGCTGCTGAGTGCCTTCTGCAAGTCTAGGAATTATCTAGTAGCCAAATGAGGAGGGGTGCTAGGAGGTATCCCCAAAACTCCTCCTAGCCTCCCCCTCCCCATGCCCAGGCATCTCTGAAAAGCTGTAGACCAGGCAGGCATGGCCCATCCAGACATTTAGGCTCCAAGAACTCGCAGCAGTCCCAACCTGGCATCTCCCCAGGGTTGAGGGTCTTGGGATCATAGCTCCCGCTGGGGCCGAGTCAGCTGGGCCTGCACCAAGCCCCTCCTCGGCAGCTGTCCCAAGCCTGGCCCCTCTGCATCTGGGGGATGTGCTTCCAGCCAACGCCAGACCCTGACCCCGCAAGCCCCAAACCCTTTCGGTCACCTCGAACATGCAATATTTTTTTCATTAACGTCTGACTCCTCTGCTCCCCTCCCCAGCTCCCCAAAGAGGCCCCCAAGCTTGCGCTTCCTCTTGCTGTCTCTGCAACCTCATAATATCCCCAGGCAGCTGGAAGGGAGAAGGCGGTGATCTCAGCTGACAGCCATGCGCTGCGGCCCTCCACCCACCGACCCTCCACCCGAGAAGCAGCTCTTCCTTCCCTTCACCCACGGTGGAGACTGGAGACTGTGCCGCACCCAAGCTTCTCCCCCATGGGATCCCCCAAAGGCTCTGCCCCGGGGATAAGTACCGATCCAGGACAACCCACTGGCCAGATGTATTCTCAGATGCTGTCTTGGCCCTTGCCCCCAGAAAGATGAGGAAACTCAGGTATCTTATTTCGACTCTTCTCTCAGTGGAGACGACACTGCTGCTGGCTCCAGCTCCCGGTCTCCGTGTCCCAAAGTGCCCCAGGACCTCCCCTAGGATGCACGGGCTCCCACCAGCTGTTCCAGCACTTACAAGCCTGCTGATCCAGCACTTACACCGCCTCCGCCCACCACCTCTGTCTTCCTCCTCCTTTCATCAAAAAGTGCTGACTTTAGGCTACAAGAGAAATCTCACTTTGAAGGGGACAGATGAGCCTGTGACCTGAGGACTCATAAGGGAACACATTTTCGGGGGTTTTTTAATGGGAAAAATTTGGCTTAGTCATTTATTTTCTTGGTTCAAATTCCAGCTCTGGCCCTTTCTGGCTGGGTAAACCTGGCTATGGTGACAAAGGAAGAGGAAAAGGATGGAGAGGAGGATGTGGAGGAGGAGAAGGGAATTTTTTAAATCCTTTTTGCAAGTTGGAATCAATGACACTAACTTGCCCCAAATTTCCTTCCCACCAATGTCAGGCAGAACAGAGAGGTTGCAGTTCACAGTGGTTTAGAGCTGTCCTGTCTGATAGAGCATCTCTGAGCTACATGTAGCTATTTAAATTATTTTATGGCTTGTGTCCAGATATCCCCCCCAAGCCTCAGAAGTGGCTGGATCTAGGGTGTGTGATGCTGGGATCAAGGATGTGACACTGGGATTGATTCATGGTGCAATGCTAGGATTAAGGCTGCCCCACCTTGGGTATGAGTGCTACCACCTTAAGAATGGGGAGCCTGGATAGGATATAACCATCAGAAAGCAGGTTGTTATTTGTTGCTTGTTGCTTACTGCTCACTGCCTTGCTGCCTTCTGCCTGCCATGAACTGTTTCTCCTCTGTGGTGCCCTTTACCATGCCACCTTGCCTTGGAGCCAGCCAACGATGAACCAAAACTTCTCCAAACTGTGAGCCAAATAAGCCTTTCCTCCTTTAACTTTGGGTGTTGGGTATTTTGTCTCGGCACCAAGAAAGTAACTAAGACAATTAGAATCAAATAAAATTTAAGATCCAATTTTTCAGTGGCATCAGTTTTGCACTGAGGGATCCTTGGCCATAGGAGGCCTAGCAATCAGACAGCATAGACGGTCAAGAAACATGGGTCCCTTCCCAGGCTGCCTGAATTCTGATAATGGCTTTCTACCTATATTATTCTAGGCAAGTTACTTAGCTCCCATCTGCCTTGGTTTCTTCATCTGCAAAATGGGCATGATGGTACCACACACCTCTTAGAGTTATTACAAAAATGAAATGGATTAATATTTGTAAAGCATTAACAAAGTACTTGTAAATATCATAAATACTGCTAAATAAATAAAATCAGATCACACGTTACAAAAGCTGGCATTCTTCATCCTCCCTACACAATCAGTATCTATCATATTTCAGATTCCATGCCAAATAATTCTCCACATGTAGTGGTTCCTTTAATTTTATACTTGTACATAATTTAAGTAACACATATCAGTTTGAAGAAGTCAAAAGGGAAATGTATCAAAAGCCAGCATTAGAAAGATACAGCTACTGATCCCTAGATTTTACCCAGAGTCTCCTGGTGGACAAAGTAAAAAAGGGAAACACGGCAGATGATTTTATTCTTGTCTGATGACCAGACGAATTTATGTGCTTCCTTTTACCCAGAATCTGATAAAAATGAAATCCTGATATACATCATGTGCACCCCTGTGGATTTTGTCAAAGTCTATGGGCAAACCGCTGTTCAGGCAAATTCTTAAATTTCTAAATTCCTATACACATCAGATGTAAACTCTCCTGAGCTGTTTTATCTCCCCATCTTCTGTGCTCCAAAGATGGAAATGTTTCTACCTGACCTGGACCCGGATCCTCTTTTTCATGAAACCAGTACTGTGTCCTCCACCTGCGTCCCTACCCAGCACACCTCTGGCCAGGCAGGGGATCTTCCACAGGATCATCCAGGCCTTCTTGTTGTAGGACCCCACTGTGTTGCCCAGTTCTCAGCCAGAGGAATGAGGTCACAGGATCACTGAGGAGCATTGCTGAGCTAGAGACAAATGTCAAGGATGTCAGGTAGCACCCAAGGGCCTGAGGTTACAGCCGTGCTTGGGCCTGGCCTACAGTGGGCATCAGTCTGCAGGCAGGGGGCTGGAGAGGAGCCTTGGGAAACACAGGGTGTGGCTGCCTACAAGATCATCCTCACCCAGATCCTCCTGCCGGTCTGCCCATCTCACCCACATGTGTCTTCTCCCTGGTGCCCCTAAGGACTGGCCTCCCACAGAGCCATCTAGAAGCCTGGGATGTGGCAATGTCAGGTGTGAAGAGGTCCCTCAGTGTGGCTGCGCCCAGGACTGGCCAAGGTGTTGTTCTAACACCGTGACTGCAGAGCACTCTGCCTTGCTGACACCTACACCGGCCGGCGGGCTTCCCCTCCTGGGTCTCTGGCCTCCCTGTGACCCATCCCAGTGGCTAAGCTGATCTCCAGCCAAGAATAGGAGCCTCCATTCAGAGATAGGCCCATTTGGGAAGGAAACCCTAGAGGGTCAAAAAACCCCAAGGCCCAAAGCCCGGACACCATGATCACAAATGATGCGGAGGGAGAGGAATTTGCTTTAAAGCTCTTGCTCATGGACCGAATTGTGTCACTCTCCCAAATTCTTACATTAAAGCCCTATCCCCCAGGAGCTCCAAAATGTCACTGTAGTTAGAAACAGGCCCCCTTGAAAGAAATAATGAAAAGCAAAATGAGGTCATAGGTCACAAATCCAACTTGACTGGCGTCTTTATAGAAAGAGATTAGGCCAGTCATGGTCACACACACCTGCGTAATTTAAGGCAAGAGGACAGAAAGCTGGATAACTGGGTTCAATCTCTAGTAAGGGTGGGGTTAGGACACAGGCAAACGAAAAGGGGAGACTAAGCAAAGGAAAATAGCCACGTACAAGGAGAGACGACTTAGAAACCAACCCTGCTGTCATCCTGATTTTGGACTTATAGCTTCTGCAATTGTGAGACTGTGGATTTCTGTGGCCTCAACCCCTAGGCTTTGGAACTCTAAGATAATAATAAGAGCAGGCTCTAAATCCCTGACAGAACCCCAAGAGCACCAGAACACACCAAACAGTGGGCTGCCAATGCATCCCATTGCTCAGGCAGAACAGAAAGAGAAGGAAAAGGAAGACCCAGGTAGGCTCACATAAGTCACTTTATCTAGGCCCCCAAACCTGTCAGCACAGTTATCCAACATAGGAACCAGGAGCCTCTGGAAGGAAAGCTGCATGGAGCTATGTCCCAAACCAGGTCTGTTTGATTTCAAAGCTTGGATCCTTTGCACCATGTACTGTAACAGATACAAGTCCTGGCAGATCCTAGGCACTCTGCTTGAGAGCTTAGGTCCCTAGATCATTAACCCTGAGTCACAACTCCTCCCGTAGCCAGAGGAGGAAGCAAGGCTCAGAGGTCAGGCTTTGCCCAGGGACCCAGAGTTTGCCTCCAGTGAGACAAGACTACCAGCCCTAACCTCTGGAGCCAGCGCTCCATTCCCAGCCATGTCCTCACCTTTGGGAACAATGTGAGAAGTCCAATTGTTTTAGCTATAAAGAACAAATAATGTGCATCCACAGCAGCAAGGGAAATGCTGCCAGCTACGAGTTACTACCACCTAGCACAAGTGAGAATCTACTTCCTGCCACCAAGCAAGGCAAGAAGCACAGGAAGCTGGGGTAGCCAGGGCTCCCAGAGGAGAGAGGCGAACCCGGAGTGAGAGACTAAGGCCAATCTCACAGCAAGGCCTGAGGTCCTGACCACACGAACACTGACCTTCTGCAGGCAACTGGTCACTCCGAAGGGCTGGTCCCCAGAATGCTTCTGGAGTCTCCTTCCTGTGGGGAACAATTAGGAGTCACAGCTCATTTGCCTAATTAAAGCCTGCTGCCAAAATTAATCAACCATAAAGCAGTGGTTATCGTGGGGAAATACTTAACATTTATTAAATGAAAAAACGGAGGGTGACTTGTAATGTCCACATTGTGTTAAAATTGTATCTGTGCTCACACGGATGGATGGATCACAATGGACATCCTTTTACTCTTCTCTTGGTAGCAGGATCTTAATCTCCTTCTGGCTCCTGGAGCTTCAGGAGGGGCCACCCAGAGCCTGGACACAGAGAGGGTGAGCAGGCAATGGGCTGAGAGACAGAGAGAAAACTAGATCAAGCTGCAGATGTGTGTGTGAGCCAATAAAATCTCTTTGCTCAATCTGTTTGGCTAAAGAATTCATTGGTGTGTGTGTGCACAGAAAACAGAACAGATATCACATATACATTTAATTATACCCACCCTTATTTAAAACAATCCTTCAAACTGGGGAGAGGGAACCTGATGGGGTGGTCAGGGACAGCTTTGTTGGGAATTTCCTCCAGGTCTGAATCTGACATTGTGATTTTCACCACATGCGGCCAGAAAGTCATGTCCCCTACTACTGAAATTATCCCGAATCACACAATAAGATTAAAGCTTGGTGATGCTGGGAGATACAGGCATCCAGGTGTTCAGCTTCCTGGTCACAGTCAAGATGACTGGAGATTCTGCCAAAGTCAGAGTGGACCGGATGGCCAGAAGTGGGTATTCAAGTCCAGCCCCATAGCTCACTCACGCTGGGCTGGATCTTGAGCAAGTACCTGGGCCTCACAGGGCCTTGATTTCTCCACCCACAAAACGGGGACTGATTGATCAGACCAGCAGTTTCCCAAATGCTACGGGATTCTGGCTGCAAATCTTACTTGTTCAACAAAATCAGAAGCAGAAGTTTAGTGTATGATCAGATAAAAGCAGAGCCGTGATCTGTCCATTTGCTGCTCCTTTTGCCGGCCGGATACCCACTGCAACACTTACGCGTGCACACACACGTACACATTTGCGTGCTCCTGTACGTACGTATATACGCCCGCACTACTGTATGCGTATGCACATGCGCAAATGTAGCAGCAGGCTGGGCGGCGCTAGGCTCAAATTCTGCAAGCTGCAGACTGGGTCCTCTCTAAACCACGCCCACCTCAGAGAGCCCCTCGTTTCCATTAACTTGTTTATGCTTGTATTCACGGTGCTTGATTCTCATCTTTTCTCCGTTTTGTGCTTTATTTCATTTCTTCAGAGATTCTAGTTAAGGACCATATGCCAGGCGAGATGTTAGTGACAGCGGTACTAAGATGAGCATGACCTTGCGTACCACTCACAGTCCTCAGGGAAGCAAGTACTAAACTAGCAGGGATGCAGATTGTGTGACTATGGCGGGGAAAGCTGGGAAGAGAAATTCTAAAGCCCCAAGGAACACAGCCCGAGGATTGGCTGAGCCTGGGTGGGCCAGTGACACTCAAGTAAGGACATGGAGGCTCTGAGGAAAGAAGGAGCATCCAGAGTACAGCAACAACACGTGCAAAGGCCCTGAGTCTGAGGCTCAGTGTACCTGGAAGGAAGGGCAGGTGACTGGGGTCAAGTGCAGGAGGCACTATGGACAGGGGAAGTGTTGGAGGGGGGAACAGTTAGGGCTGGGGCTGGGTATGGGCTCTGAGACTGTCAAGGAGGCTGGTGTTAGATCTGAAGACCTCAAAAATTAAAACACACACACACACCCACACACACACTCACACACACACGCACACACTCTCTCTGCATAGATTACTTGAACTCCTACTATATGCAGTCACTATTCTAGACTTTGAGGGTAAAACACCTTTAGAAAAGAGATAACGGGGGCCAGGGATTTAGCTCAGTGGTTCTGCCACCTGCCTTGCAAGCGCAAGGTCCTGAGTTCAATCCCTGGTACCAAAAACAGTACCAAAAACAAAGAGACAACCACTATCTTCTTAAATTTTCATTTCAAAGATAGAGGGAGATAAAAATAATCCAAATGAAACAGAGAAGTTGTCAGGTGCAAGCAAATCCAGGCTTTGGTGGAAGCTAAAATTTGGAGGGCAGGTGGCATAGACTCTTTAATAAAAGGAGAGAAAAGTTGTAAATATCATTTTAGGTCCTGAGCCCTGGAACCTGCTCCCAAGGGCCCTTGTGAATGACAGGGCGGGGAAAAAAAGCAAGCACTGGGGGCAGGAGGCTGAGACTGAGATGGGGTGACAGACAGGGACTTGGTGACAGGTTGGCCTCGGGGAAGCCCACAGGAGGAGAAGGGTCCACCTGGGAGTGTAGGAAGAGCAGCCAGACAGAAGGTGCAGCCTGGGCCATGGGAAACTCACCAGGAAGAGGCCAATGCGGATGCACAGAGAAGTGGGTGGTTAGGGAGGAGTGGTCAGAGAGGTAGCCCAAGTCGTACTGGCACCTTACAATCCTCCGGGGCAGGAGTGGAAGCCCAGAGACCAGCCAACTGCACAGGGATGCCAGCTGCACAGGAGGATTGCAGGAGAACTGCAAGTTTGAGCCCAGCCTGTGCAACTTTGAGACTGTCTCAAAATACAATCGAAAAGGGTGGGGATGTAGCTCAGTGGTGGAACTTTTGCCTAGCAAGCATAGGGTCCGAGGTTTAGTCCCAGCGTCAGAAGAGAGGACGAGCGATCCAGCATAGCTAAGTAGATGGCTGGTGGGAAAATGGAAGAGGGCAGTGAGGACAGAGATCCCCAAAGGTGGACAGAAAACCCCATGAAAATTGTTGATAAAGTAGATTGTCATGCATGCAAATGTGGCTCCCCTAGGAAAGGTTGGCTTTTCAGTCTCAGAGGTGGCAGGGCCTTCGCAAAGGCCGTCTGTGTCCCCAACCAGCACATTAGAGCCCAGGAGCCCTGCAGCAACAAGGCAGGTGGGAGTGAGAGCAGATCCTCTTGGGAGAGAGCAGAGTCACCCTGCTGCAGTGACACAGCCATGGGACCCTGGGGCATCAGCCGGCAAGGCCTGGGTTTCTGCTCGGCCAGGGAAGGAAGAAGCCCAGAATGGTGGGAGGGGCAGGAGGTTCTGGTGGAGCAGAACAGACCCGAGGATTGAGCCAGGCTCACTCTTAAGATTTAAGACTTAAGCTTCTTGGAGTGTCATGCAGGCGGCCCCGCCACAGACCCTGGGCCGTCCTGCTCCAGACAGGTTCACCTTTCATGACCTGTGCCACCCTCTGTGCAGGTGGTGCCCAGTGAGGCAGCTGCTCATGTCCTCCAAGGCCAAGGGGCCACTGGCTGCAGCATTCCTCACCCTCCCTGCCCCACATGAGGATAGCCCCCAAGAGATTCAGATTCCCAGGCAAGTCAGAGGCTGAGGAGACTCAGGACCCAGTTGCCCATGTTCCAGACTGGGCACTTTGTCTGGAGACTGAGTAGATGTCCCCGCAGGGGGCCGGAGACCTGGCTTTTTGTCCCAGCACTGCGAACTATGAGGACTTGGGCATGCTCCTTAACCTCTCTGAGCCTCCTACTCCACATCTGCCAAATGGGCATTGTACTAATGGTGCCACCTCCCAGAATGCTGTAAGCGTTTAGTGTCCTGGATAGAAATGTGCTCAGTAAGTCATTATTTACAGACCCAAATACAAGGCTACTAGGCCGACAGTTGCAGGGGCAATGGCAACTAAACCATGGCTGGCAGTCCAGAACATCTGGGTACCTACCAAAGGGCCTTGAGCTGCAGGACGCTGATCCAGAAACAAAAAGCCCGAAGACTGTGGGAGCTGCTTGTCACCAGAGTCGGACCCCTCGGAGAAGAGGGAAATGGATCTAGGCAGCTCAGGGGCAGGAGGTGACAGGCCTTGGCAGGCAAGGGGAGCACCCTCAGGAGGTGACCAGGGCCTCGTGTCCAGGGTGGGAAGCTGGCTGTGCCCAGAGAGGGGCTCCTTCCAAGCGAGCCAGGCCAGGTCAGGGCTCTCCTCAGAGGCCTGACGTTCACACTGACAGGAATAAGGAATAACCGCGAGGCCACTGGGGTGGCGCTGAGGACTCACGGTCTGAGGACAGGGCCAAGCATCATGCTCACGTGGGAAGACCAGGATCAAAGACGCCCAGCCTGTCTTGGTAGAGCTCCAGAAAACTAGTAATTTCTGAGCTCCTCTGTGAGTTTCCACAAACATTAGTGGCTTCTACCCATGGAGCTTTAGGAAGAACCAGAGGACGGAGTTCAGAGAAGCCACATTGCTGCCTCAGGTCACCAGCAGTGCATGGCAGATGCAGGTCCCCAAGCTGAGACTGTTTCCAGCTCACACCACAGTGCCTGGGGCCGAGGGACATCCAGCCCCAAGTCACCTGTCTGTCTGCCCATGGGAAGTACATCCAGGCCTGGGATGAGAGGTATCAGGCACAGGAAATCCCCAAACCAGCCTCAACTCCCTCAACTGTGCCTCAACTGCTCACCCAGAAGCTTGGCCAGGAACCTGCCCCACACCTGGGGTCTCTCACTCAGACTTCGCAGGGACCAAGCAGAGTCCCAGCCCGGAGCCACCCAGCAGTTGCTCTTGCCAAGTGTGCAAATCTAACCACACCGTGACCCCAACCTGCAGTGATTTTGTAAACCTTGAACTGAATGCAGACCTTCCCCGTTTGCTGAGCATGAACTCCAGCCAAGCAGCCAACAAATGAAAACCATCCAGACAGACCAGAATCTGGACGCTGGCTCCTGCAGACTCTGCCCCTGATGCTGAGCTTTGGAGAATGAGGAGAGGGTGCCAGGGAACAAATCGGGACAGAGACTCTATCAGCTACAGGGGCCTGGGACAGATGCCAGGTGGAAACCGGTAAGGGTGGGAAGCTGCCAGCTGTCCCCAGGGGCCTAATCCAGGGAGAGAAGGCAGCAAGGAAGGCTGTGGTAGGGCATGGTGGGGACCACTAACTTGTAACCCTGTCCCCGTGTTCCTGGGCCTGAGGACTCGTGCTGCACCTGGGCTACCTCTGACCCCTGATGAGAATCATTTGGGAGTGAGTGAGCTCATAGACCTGGGGACAACAGGATGTCAGCACCCAGAGTATCCTGGTGGTAACTTGGAAGTGGGACCATTCAGCGTGTCATGCACCTGTCTTCCTGCCATCTGGAGCTATTCAGAGACTGGACCAGGTAGTAGCAGGGGACGGGAGCGGAGACACCAACCACAGAAGCCAACAGAGATGGCCCTTGCCTCTCTGACACTGGAGGGCTGGGACACGAGGCCCTGGGCACACGAAGCCCCTAGTCTTTCCCCAAACGAGGCATCTGCCCTGCTCACCAGCACCCTGGCCACGTGGCTGGAAGCTGCGTCCCCTCCCACAGGGACCAGACTCCTTCCTGAAGGTCTGGTGGAGAGGCTGGGGCGGGCAGGAGCAGAGCAGGCCCGGGGTTCAGTGGGCCATTGAGGAAGGGCCCCTGTGCCTGGGTGGTTCACGCCTATGGTCCCAGTGCTCAGGATCCCTAGGCAGGAGGATCACCAAGAATTCCAGGCCAGCCTGGGCTACAGAGTGAGTTCAAGGCCAGCCTGAACTGCATAGTGAGACCCTGTCTCAAAAAAGAGAGAGGGCGTAATAGCAGGTGCTTTTTAGCACTGGTGTAAATCCGCACGTGGAAGCCAGTGTGGGAGTTCAGTTGAGGTCACACCTGGCATGGTTGGTTGCCCTCTATCTCCCTGAGGGGCTTACCATCCTGAGACCCAAAAGCACAGTCTGACTCCTCCAAGGGCAGCCCAAGGCCAGGCCCTGGCTTTGAGAGCACGGTCACCCTCGCCGGTTCCAGGGGAAGGCGTGGAAGGCGTGGAAGGCCAAGTACAGCCACATTTTCAAACCTTCTCGCAATCCGAATGTCAACACCAATCGAAACAATATGCCTATTTTCAGACCTCCTGCCAGACCGGATTAATTTCTACAGGCTCAAAGCCCATTTTGGAACTGTAATG